ACAACTGCTCTTGGAGAAGCGTATAAATGCATGTCGTTGCCAAGTTGTTGCTAACGAAAAAATGTGAATTATAGGGTAATATGCCCGCGCGCGATCCAAAAGCGGGGAACACATAGGTTTGTCGCGTCAAAGGGATCTGTTGCCGAGTGATCTCCTTCTCAATAATACCTCCATGGTTCAATTATATTTTAAACATCAGCATTTTATGTGGCCAACATAGGGAACGGCAACAGATTTGTTAAAAATAACAATGCACTTAATAAAATCTAGTTCTCAGTGGGGAAAAAAATTGTTACTTTAATATTTTCGTTTTATCTTTTAAGCATTTGAGTCATCTATAACAAAGACTGTCAAAATCTCAGAATATTTGTTAAAAATAACAATGCACTTAAAATCTAGTTCTCTGTAGGAAAAAATTGTTACTGTAATATTTTCGTTTTGTCTTTTAAGCATTTGAGTCATCTATAACAAAGACTGTCAGAATCAATGCATATAAGGCAAAAATCAAAGATCAATTGAAATACTGTAGGTCACAAACTAATCATATTTGCCTGCACTCATCATGGCCCCAAGGCTTAGACACATGTGTTCTATCCCAGAACATCGAGGTTACAGTAAAGTTTAGGCTTGCCATGGCCATGTCATGTGTGCCTGGGGAGCAACAATATAATGAATAACAGCCCACAGCTGAGAAGTATTGGAATTTCAGGGGGTTTATTCCAGTTTGAAAACAAACTGTACACAACATTATTAGCCAATTAGATTGAATATGAAAACACCTGTATGCTGGACTTTAGCTCATAAATATTCATATTTTAGAAGTATTTTCCATCTCTTGGGAAAAGGACAGAAACCAGGGTTAATGAATCCAAACATCATTCAATTTCAGTCCAGCACTGACACATACATGCCAACACTAAAGAACTGAAAAATCGGGAGTTTGAATGTCATTGTCACAGTAGAACCAAGCAGAGGTGGATTTGTAAAGAGGTGTCCCCCTCTCATTCACTGGGGAATGGTGTGTCCGCTCTTACTCACTGGAGAAAACAAGTTTGTTCCCTTCTGGGAAACATTTTGGTGTAGCCAATATGGGGAAAAGCAAAGGATTAAACCTAATGTTAAAAACGATATTACGCTTAAAATCTTGTTCTCTGTGGGAAAAAAATATGTTACTTTATCCCGGTTAAGAGTTGAAAGGGTAAACTAGTATAATCTTTCCATTTTTACTTCTTGAAAATATTTAAAACTTCTAAATTGATATGTTATGCATATTATCTCCATACTGCCCTCTCAGAAAGTATTCTATCATGTTGAAAACAGATGAACAAGACTATGTGCAATACTACTAAAGCAATTAAAAATAATACACACAGAATATGAGTATGGTGACTACGAAAAACGACAAACGTGAGGCCATAATGGATTCTACGTTTATGTTTCGTTCTTTATTTGAACATTGTCAAGAAGGAATAGCCCAAGTCCAAAATGGCGACACAGAATACACGCAGGTAATGTACAGCAAACCTAGACAGTGGTATATACAATGGGGAGGTGTGATATCGCGGAAAAGGCGTACTGTAACAACAATAAATCTGGTTCAAATTAATTAAGAATTATTTAAATATTAATTTGTACGAGAAACATGATTTGGTTAATTATTTTCCAATCAAATTTACACATTAACAAACTTGTGCTGTACTTATGCACACAATATAGACCTGTACTACATACTCTATCACATTCAATATCAAAAACACAGCATACAGTAGGGTGAAGGAGTGAATAAGTACAATATGGTGTATTTGAATTATACCTTTTAAATATCACATTTATTAAGACTGAGTCAATTATCCCTATGAACACAAAACAACACATAGTATTATAAGATGTGCTAAAGCCCAATAAATAATAATAACTACAAATAATTATATAGTGCCAATTCAAAAATTTATCAAAGGCGCTAGGTGAGGAAATAAAGCAAGTTAACGTTCCGGTAATAGATACGGTAAGTTTTAAGATTTTTCTTAAAAGGAAGCAAATATAAACAAAAACATAAAAACAGTAAAAACATGATCAGTTTAACACCCTTGCCCACATGTCTTCTATGGTATTAAAACAAAAAATTGTTACAAAAAAATTAATTTAAAAAAAATGTTTTCCCCACTTTTTTTATATTTTTTAGTAAATAGTTAGGTAGAGTAGATATTGTTTGTCTCAATCATGTATTTTACTTTGAACATCAATGCACCAGCAAACAAAATAAAAATAGAGTCACCTTTCCTCATCACTTTTCCAGTCTAGATAAGGTGATAAACTAATAGGTAATACTTTTTATAGGGCCTAATAAGGATAATTATGCAATCCTCCGGAATGGTAACCTATAGAATGAAGCATGTTTACAAAGGCAAAATGGCATAATGGCCCATTCCTACATTAACAATAATAATGGGAGAAAAACAGTTTAATGTAAAAGCCAAACATGCCAGAAACCATATCCTTAGACTTTTTTTTTTGGTAAAGTATTTACATGGGATTAAGCTGTTAAGATGTTGTAGACTTTTTTTTGGGTCAGCCTATAAAAAAGCCGTGAGGCTTATCTACTTAAAAATGCTTAAATCCATCTGGAAATTTTATTTTAATAACAAAGAATCAAAGACGAATCAATGACAGAGTAACCTTTGCAAGGCCAGTTGCAAGCATACAGTACATGTATCATTATTTCTAATTCGATTTTCATCCTTCAAAATTATACACAATATTTACCATGAAAGCCATCTATATAGGCCTACAGTCGGTTTACAACTTTTAAAAATTATACACCATATTTACCATGAAAGCCATCTATATAGACCTACAGTCGGTTTACAACTTTTCAAAATTATACACAATATTTACCATGAAAGCCATCTATATAGGCATACAGTCGGTTTAGAACTTTTCAAAATTATACACAATATTTACCATGAAAGCCATCTATGTAGGCTTACAGTCGGTTTACAACTTTTCAAAATTATACACAATATTTACCATGAAAGCCATCTATATAGGCCTACAGTCGGTTTACAAATTTTCAAAATTATACACAATATTTACCATGAAAGCCATCTATATAGGCCTACAGTCGGTTTACAACTTTTAAAAATTATACACAATATTTACCATGAAAGCCATCTATATAGGCCTACAGTCGGTTTACAACTTTCCAAAATTATACACAATATTTACCATGAAAGCCATCTATATAGGCCTACAGTCGGTTTACAACTTTTCAAAATTATACACAATATTTACCATGAAAGCCATCTATATAGGCCTACAGTCGGTTTACAACTTTCCATGGATCAATTAATTAAAAAATATAGTCTACTGTATAGTACATTCTGCACAGGTTTACATACTATTTCAATTCATTTTTTAAAATAAATTACATAATAAATAGTAAGTTTCATGTCTTGCAAGCCTACAACAGTTTCTCCCGACTTCGGGCACTTTTCCCTGATGTTCAATTTGAATTTCATCTGTTATTTTTCAATGACCTTTGTCTTTTTGCTGTATGTAAATTTAAAATTTGTGTGATTATTTTAAAGTTAAAGTTAATTTACTATAATTTGGTCAATATATAGCAAAATAAATATTACTAGCTGTTTAAGAGGTAGAATATAGTTTACTTATGTGACTTTTATTATAGTAGTAACTGTATGACACACTTAGAGGATCAAATAGATTCCATTATGTTCCCGAGTGATACAAATTGGTTGAAAAGGTGTAGCGTCATGCAACAAACTTCATTCCAGCTATCATGATTTACATACGTATGAAGACAAATTGAGAATGCTAGGTCACACAATATTGCACTAAAGAAGACTACTTGTAATATAATTTAGTTAAAGCTTCAAAATTGTGAACATAATCGGAGCACTTTCAGAAGCAAATTATACAAGACATTATGTTATCGGGGCACAACCAAAATCTTGGTTTTACGCATTGAAACAAACTGTTAGTTACTGTCAATGATGCGGAATCTAGTGGCACACCTTCACAAATTCTTTTGACCTCAATTTAATAGGTAAATAGGT